ATGTATGTATGTATGTATGTATGTATGTATGTATGTATGTATGTATGTATGTATGTATGTATGTATGTATGTAAACGCGCGGATGTGGTGTAACGGCAAGCGGTGACTATCAAACACGCATGATTCGAGTATCGAATTTCGGGTTGATACTAGCCCATATCAAGCAATACTTCCTCACCAGCGCGGGACTCAGTTCGATCACTGGTCGCGGCTTGATAACTACAGGGTGACTAAAAATTATTGTTACAAAAATTTGACCGAGTATTACCACTCAATGAACCGGATATACGTGAATCTGATGCATTTTTTTCTGGAACGTGATATGCTTTCATCACTACCACTGAATTTCATCAAAATCCGAGCAGTTTGTCCAATATGGTACGCGCTAGCCTGTGTGTGACGCCATTGTGCACTTACACGATGCTGGCAACACCCCATCACTCATCGCCAAGAAGCTTTCCACCTGCCGCCAGACCGTTAAAGGCACTAATCACAAGAAAATTAGGGTACCCTTTTTTGACGGGAATTGATAGAACTACTCTAGAATAAAGCGATATCAACGAAAAAAGCGCAAAAAAGAATTACAAAGGGTCAAAAAAAGAGCTGGAAAGGGGGGTTTGACGGCTTCGAATTCAAACATGTGCAAATATCCGAAACCACTTTTTCGTGAACAGTGCCTTCAACAGAATTCTCTAGAGGTATAATGAAACTGGTACACCCGTCCTCTATTCGGAAGACCGCGCAACGCAACGACTTCTGCGAACCGAACAGCCGTTAAAAAACGCATCGACAGGAATCTGCATCGTGGCATGCGAAAAATGGCCAAGGGGCTCAAGATCGACAATCCATCAGAAGTGTGTTGCACGACCACTTTGGGCTCTGTCCCTACAAAATCAGCCCTACCTAAAAGAATAAGGCCGTCGGAATAGCAAGATGTCTTTGAACCACGCACACTTCAAAAACCAGCACTAGGTCTTCCAGCAAGACTCATTGATAAAGATAAATGGTTCTTTCCATGTGACAATGTTTTTAGGTCACCATGTACTTCGAAAACCAAAATCCATGCGTTGAAAGACATGCAACAGACGACTACATCTGATTGTACTCAACTGGACGATTCGAAGTCAGCAATATAAATGAAGCACTCAGAACAAGTCAATCGTGAAGGAATGATCCTCAACTATAACAAAGCCAGCTCATACTTATCTTCGACAACTCGTCAAAGTATTGGAATAGTATTGGAATGTGGGTGGGAAGTCTCGTCGTACCCCGACATAAACCGGATATAACATTTTGGGACTGTCATTCAATCAGATATGTGCGCGATTGATTTTGTGGGGGACAGTTTGATTTTCCGGAGGACTGCAAAATGCACCTAGGACTTTTTTTATTCCAACATTAGAAGCTCCAATGGAAGTGGGACAGGAAGACTTCATGAAGATGGTGAACCGTTTTTGATCAAAATGGCGCGTATAATGCCAAGCAAGCGAGTTTTTTCAAACTTTTTACACATTGGCCCGTATGCATAACGCCCGGGGTAGGGGAGGGAGAGGAAATGTTTGCCGAGGGCGCGAGTGTTCAAATGGGCCTTTGTTTTTGCCTTTGTTCTGTGTCAAGATAGTTGCAATGGAGCTAAGTATTTTCCTATAAACAGGTGAAGAATCGACAGCCCTTGGTAATCATGTGATGTTTGTCTCTGCGACCTTACCTTAGCGAGAGCTCAGAGAAGCCCGACCCCATTGGCTCCCCGGGGTATGAATCTACCCCTAGAATAGAGCTGGGGCGCCGA